GAGCTATTATGATGGGGTGCTTTATAACCTGAATTGCAGCATATCTGACAGTTTAGAACCCCACTAGACTAGTTTATGATAGTGTGGGAGGAGGAAAGGGCACTAGGCTAGACTTAGATGTCATGATTCATATGAAGTTGGTGGAAAAAGTAAGAGATTTGTATCGGATAGTGGATTCTCGAGAGGAAAGTTCTGATGATGAGGAGGCTGAGGATGCCGATGACACTAACATGGAGGAGGGTAATCCGACTCCTTTCCCTGCTTTTGGTACTTCTTCTGGTGCAAGTACTTCTAGAGCTGGTCCGTCTTTTTAGGGAGCATCGAACATGTCCAACGATTAAGTTCTTGCATGGATGATATCCCGAATGGACACGTTTGACACTCGCCTTAACAGAATGGAGTCGACATGGAGGGGCGTATATCCGACTCCTTTCCCTTGCTTTTGGTACTTCTTCTGGGTGCTAAAGTACTTCTAGGAGCCTGCTGTCGTCTTTTTTTAATAGAGGAGCATTTCGAACATGTCCAACGATAAGTTTCTTGCATGGATGATATTCTTGCCGAATGGACACGTTTGGAAACGAGCTTTCGCCTCTAAACAGAATTGGAGTCCATGATTGCTGACAAAGGTTCCAGCTCCATAGAGATTATGCACACGGGAGCCTCGACTCTCGTATTGACACCTTGCAAGGCCAATATCAGGGAATTACTGATCAACTCCAAACTGTCATTCAATTATTGTAGCCACATCCACCTCCACCACCTGAATCTTGATGGATTTTGACTTCTTTTCGTTTGCTTTTTATTTTGATTTTTGTTTTTGTATATTGGATATTATATCTTGGATTTTGATTCAATTGTTGCTTTTCAGTTTCTACTTTAGATATTATCTATTCTTGCTTTTAGTGTTTTTCTGATTTTATAGCTTTGATAAATTTCAACACCCGGCTCTATTATATTTTTCAATACAATGAGGGTAATGATTACTACACTCTCTTATTCTTTTATTTGTTCTAATACAATGGAGGGTATATGATTACTTAAAACTCTCTTATCTTTTATATACATTATTTAGAATTAATATGATAAGGGTTGGGTAAGAAGTTGCGGTTCCTATTTTTTGCATACATTTGGGGACCAATGTTGCAACTTAGAATATTAAGTTGGTAGGGATAAGAGAAAAATTTTAGTTAAAAAATTTCTATATATATTTGATTTGATTTGATTTTTATTAGTACATTAAATATGGGTTTAGGAAATAAATTGTTGATGGCAAGACTTTTTGAAAATTATTCATTAATGACTTAGACTATAGATGTATAAATTTATGTTTGAGTTTTTCATTATTGTGTCATAGTATGGTTATGATGCTTTGATCCTTTACTTATACATAAATTTCCTCATCTTAACTATTTGTTTCTAAGATTATAAAACAAGGGGAAAATATCAAGTATAGAATTATCTTAATCAAAAAATCCTAGCATTCCTTAGAAACAAATTAGAATATTTCCTTGAAAACAAGAATTTTTAAATGCCTATATATATTTTTAAAGAGATGATTAGCATTTCTTGTTGAACTGGCCTTTATTTAGCGTTCTAAGGCCAACTACAATATTAAAAGTTAACTTTTGCAACCAATTTTGAACCCTGTATCCATAATTGTGTTGTTCACCTCTTATTAAGCCTAAGCCATTAAATCCACAAACTTAATATTTCTTACCCTAGAGTGCAATATGGGATTATAATTGAAGTGGATTTGATTCTGCTTTAACAAAATAATTGAAGGATTTGATTTCTGTTAAAACATAGCAACAAAAGGGAGAAAAATATCATTAATACTAGCAAGTGAAGCAAGTAGAAAAACAAAGAGAAAGACCCCATAAAAGAAGCAATCAATCAAAAATTCAAGTTTGGGGAATTAAAGCAAGGAAGAAATTATCAAAGTATTATGAAAAGAACTTGCCAAAGTATCTCTAATTTTGAGCTAGTGAAGAACTTTAAGATTAATCTCCCTTTACAAAGAAAATTTTGTTTTCATATAATGAAAATCTTGATATTCTGCATTTTCTGTGCCCTTTGTCTATCTTTTTATCCTTTTTCTTTGTTTAGCTAAAATTATACCCCTAAAACCCCATTACAATTGAAATAAAGACCTTTTGATCCTTTTAAATATGCATTTCGATTGTGGAGAAGGGGATGGACTAATTTTTGCCTTATGGGGCAATGTTGAATTTATTATGTTTAAATACATATTAATTAGGGTTAAATTTTAATTTTTTGTGAATATTCATATCTACTTATCAATTCAATAATTATGGTGTTGAAAAAATCTCATTTAACTTATGTTTAAATTAAGAATGTGTTTCATTTAAAAATTAAAATTTTGCTAGAATATTTAATTAGCATGGGAAACACTTGATTTATTCTCTATGTTAATGATTTTATACTTTTGAAATTGTGAAATAAATATCTCCAACCATATTAAGCTAGCTTTGTTAGATTGTAGCTTGTGATTTATCTGTGTGTATTTTTTAGTGTTTTGTTGCTTAGAGGACAAGCAAGTTGTTTAAGTTTGCGCAGGAATTTTTAAATAGGCCGTATTTTTTATAGTCATTTTTAATATAGGCTTTTTATTAGGAATTTATGTGGTTAAGTTATTTTAATTAGTTTTATTTATGTTTGTGTAAAAGTATCCTGAATCATTAATCCACTTGATTCTTTTAAAGAAAGTTTATAGGGTTTTTAGCACTATGAAAAGAGCGAAATTAAAGCCATAACACTCAGGCTTCTTATACGGCTCATAATCCACTTGATCTTAAAGAAATTTATAGGGTTTTAGCACAGAAAAGAGCAAAATAAAGCAAAACACTCAGGCTCTAGCACGCCCTGACCGTCCACATTAGCACGCCCGTGCTGAACTTAAGGAAAATCAAGAGGAGATTTAGACTCTAGCACGCCAGACCGTGCTATCTGGCACGCCCATGCCTAAGAGGACCTCAGGGTGTGGTTGCTTAAGCACGCCCGTGATGCATTTCATCCTGGAGACTCAGAGCCTAGCACGCCTTAGCCGTGCTATGGGGCACACCCGTGCCACAGATCCTTCTCTGGACGTGTCGCTGAGCACGGTCTGTGCTTAACCATCCTTAGAGCTCAGACTCTGGCACGCCAAGACCGTGCAAAACAGCACGCCCGTGCTACGAATTAGGTGCTGTCTTCAATCAAAAACGCCAGCCAGTTTCTATAACTTACATGGGCCCACCTCAAATATTTTTCTGACATACAAATCAAGATCTAATCCGATTTAGGAAGATGAAAAAGTCCTAACTGAAAAGAAATCCAAAGCCTAAACAGTTTTCTATCTCCAAAAAGATTTCTTATCTAATAGATAAGAATTCTATTTCCTAAACGAAGTCGGATTTTCTCTCAAGAAGTAAAGAGAGGAGCCACTCATTGTAGAGAGATCTCCAGTTTTTGATCATTCTTGTTCTATTGTTTCTTCTTTCTCCCAAAGACTTCAAGTATTCAAGATTTGTACCAAGATTCAAGGAAGCTGTCCATGTTATTTGTTGCCTAGTTTTTATCTCTAAACTCTTAAACTTGTTTTATTCTTTCATTATTTCTAAACTCTTAAACTCTGTTTTTATTCTTTTACTATTATTTGAAATTGATAACATGTAAATTTATTAAGTATTATATAAGTTTATCATTTATATAATATGTCGAACTAAATTCTCATTTTACTAAGGCTTTGATGTAGGCTTAATATTTTTTTTTCCCAATGTGCATATAATATTAGATTTGTTTTTCTTATTAATATTCAAAGTGTATAAGATTTATTATTAAAATCTTAGAATGCTTCTTAGGCAGAGTTTGATATGAAAATGGGTAAATTAAATACATGAGAATAATACTTTTTGATGCAGAAGACTATATGATTTGAACTCATGGGGGTGTTTTCGAAAAAGTTAAAATGACCTATAGGGTTATGACACTATCCACCAAAAAAACACATGACCAACAAGACTTTAATAATTTAATCATCGTTTGAATTTTAACGCAATTTGGAGATATGCGTGCAATCTAAGTTTGCGATATAAATATGCTAACGAACATCGGGAGATGTTGTGTAGTGATTTTTAGGGTTTGTTTTCCCAAACCTTGATACAATTTAAAAATTTGATTAACGAAACTAATTTAAATTAAATTGGATAGAGTTAAGCGAAATCAAAACCCCTATAGCTTAATCCTTTGATTTCTTTTTTCTTTTTTTTTTTCCCCCCAAAAAATAAAATTTTGGGTTTTGGTTTTTGGGAAAAAAGTTTTTTTTTTTATTTTTTTTTTTATTTTATATATTTGTGTTTTTTGTTTTTTTTTTTCGTTTTTTTCTTGCTCTTCTATCTCTTTTTCTTTTTATAATTTTAATTTATTTAAAAAAAGCATTTTTTCTTTTTAACATTAAAATTGATTAACGAACTAATAAAATAAATTGGATAGAGTTAAGCGAAATCAAAACCCCTAGTAGCTTTAAATCCTTGATTTCTTTTCTTCAAATAATGTTGTTTGATTTATTTTTGTTCTCTTTTAATTATTTATTTTAAAATTTTTTACAATAATTCCCCTTTATTGTCGTTTAAATAATAATAGATTAACATAATTTTGGTACTTGGTATATAATCCCTATGGAAACGATATTCTACTCATTCCATATTACTTATTGCGATTTTTGTACACTTGCAAAAAATTACTGTCATTTATATTGTTCGCGACTCAGGGAAAGTGATAACAGATATTTTGGCTGGGGTTTTATTTATGTATGACGAGATTTTGCTACTAACATTTTCAAGCTAAAACTTAGATATGTGAGGATACACTTGGCCTGAATTGCTTGGATTTATTAAATTTTTCCAAATTTTTAATAAAAAAATTAATTATTTTTGCTGATAAAAATAAACCATTCATTTGATTCATTAATTTCATTTAATTTTAATATGCGGAACATAAAATACAGAATGACGATTTTAATTGATTATTAGTAATTAATGGGTTTAGAGCTAAAACAATTCCCATTCTTCACTCACCTTCCACTGATCGAGCTTCTCTAAAATTCTCATCAGAGTGGAAATATATGCATGCAATTACATTTAATATATATATTTATTAATTATTACAATCATGAAATTGAACATGCATTGGGATTCTCATCGCTAAAAAGCTGAGGCGGTGGGATTCGCTCAATCACATAAAGAGGTTGATAATAATACATCATCCTCTTCATATTCTCTTCATCAATGGCAGATATGATTTCACTATTAGCTTCTTCCTTTTTGGCTTCTTCTTCTTTATTCTCAGTATTATTATTTTGTGGGTCTTTGTTTTCTTCTCCTTTCTTATCATTGGATTCTGGAGCTTCTGGGGGTTTTTGCTCTTCTTTTTTCTCTGTATTTTCTTCTTTTTTCTCTTCTGCTGGTTTTGCTTCTTCAGGAGCAGCAGCTGGTTTCTCTTCTTCTTTCTTTTCTGGTTCAGGTTCTGGTTGTGGAACTAACTTTGCTTGCTTTTTTGTGCGTCTATAAACATAATCAACTAGCTTTTCTGGGTCCATTGTTCCTGTGACTGTTACTTTCCCTGTGCTTAACTCCGTTGTAGCTGTTTGCACTCCTGTAATTTATACATTCAAATTTGTCAAAATTAACAGAGACAAAACTTTTACATCAATATAAAGTAGACAACAAGTCCTGAGTTTCAACCACGTGACATGTTACGTTGATAGATTAGATTTGCCTAGATCCGGTTCATATACAATATTATAGGCATTGCACATTAGGTTTGAAAAGTGACATTGGAAAGTTGATTTTTTTTTTTTTTTTGTCAACTTCGTAGTAGTTTTGCTCTTTGATTTTCCTTTTCATTAGGGTAAGAAAGACCCTTCAGAATATGAATTCTCCATGGTCAAGTTCTCTATTTATGGAAGAGCTAGATCAGAGAGATCCAGTGATGCCTCTATCTAACTGCCATGTATTACATCAAGCATGGCCCACCATCAGCAGGTAGGTGGGGACAATATCTGGGTGGGAACCATTCACCCACCCAAGAAAATTGCATTCCTATGTCACCTTTCTTTCAGTTGGTCACTCACAATCAACTTGTTGAGTTGGTAATTCTAATGGCGGAAACCATTCACCACACCCAGAAAAATTGCATTTCCTATGTCACCTTTCTTTCAGTTGGGTCACTCACAATCAACTTGTTGAGTTGGTAATTCTATTTTATATTATATAAATTATTACTCTCATTTTGAGTATTCTTTTCTTTAAGTCTGCCTCAGCAACCAGGCCTCACAGTGCATGTTGGACGTTAAGCTTCCACAAGTTGTTGATTCACTAACCTGGAAATGTTGAGTTGGTAATTCTAATTTTATATTATATAATATTACCTCTCATTTTGAGTATCTTTCTTTTAAGTTGCTCAGCACAGGCCTCACAGTGCATGTTGACGTTAAGCTCCACAGTTGTTGATTCACTAACCTGGAAATAGCATTAAAAAAAGAAAATGTAACACCTTTAACTAATATTAGGATAAACAATACTTTTTCATTAATGCATTAGATTTTGATATATAATATATTAAATCAAAAAGAGAACGGATTCCGATACCATATTAAAATTTAAGACCGACTTCAAAACATAATTAGTATCCAAATTAGATAAACTAATAAACTATAAGAAACTTAAAATAGAGAGATTTCTTAAATAATGTTTTCGAAAAAGCCAATTAAATGATTAATTGAAAAATAAATAAAAGGTTGGTAGGTTGAGACCTGTGATTTGACAAGTTGAGGCATTGGTTCACCCTCAGCTTCAGGCAATGGAGACAAAACTTTAGCTCTTCTTTTAGTTTTCTTGGTGATTCTGTTGCAAACAGCTTGAGGTTCTATTATTCCTTTTATAGTAACTTGGTTTTGAGCCATATCTATCACTACTCCCTCCACACCTGTTCACATTAATAAATACATATCTACTTAAATATCATCCTGACCTGAGTACGAAGACAAAAAGTACTATAATTTCTTTTTATTTTATATAAAAATTACTAATAGATGAAAATTTGTAATCTTTTTGAAGAAAACCTCAAGTTTTTACTTATAAATATTTCAAACAAGAAAAGAAGGAGACCTCTAATTTTCATGATAGACTTCTCAATCTTTTTAGCACATCCCACACAATGCAAGTCCACAAACAAGACAAAGGGAGACGGTGGTTTTGGCTCTTCTTTCTTCTCTTCTTTCTTCTCTTCAGCCTTTTCCTCTGGTTTGGCTTCTGGCTTGGCCTCTGCCTGCAAAGAACCCATTCATTAAATCAAAACACGTTCGCCTCAAAAACCTTACAGAACAAACAAAAAATAAGCTTGAAAGAAGTTAAAAATCTCACTTGTTTAGCTTCTTCACCCATTCTTTTTGCAGTAAACTTGTTGATGGAAAGGAAAGGAATGTAATATACAAGTATTATACGTACTGAAAGAGAAAGAGGAGAGATGAGAGTATATATGTAGGAATTGAAAAGTATTATAATAATGGATGGACGGTGGGGTTAATATATCGCAGAAAGCAGAAGAGTGTGATTCCAATGCACATGGAATGCCACTTAGGAATTAATTTGTTTAAAATGTTGAAGGCTGAGAAGAGGGTAAAGGAAAAGGGGGAGAAAATAGAGGAGCAGAATGACAGATTTATAATGCAAGAGTGAGAGAGGGGAGATGAATTGGTGAAGCAAAGAGAAAGCAAAAAAGAGAGAGATGAAAAAGAAGGGCTTTGAAAAGGATAATACTTCCATTTGCCACCGACTGGGGTGGGGTGTGGATTTTTTCGATCACAATGTGGCTGATGTGTCAGTATGGCCAATCATCTAGCTATGTTATATTTTCTTCCTTCCTTTGCAAAGGAGAAATTTAAAAAAAAAAAAAAAAAATTGTTTAGACTCAGGTTGATAGGTCCGTTAATAGATTAAACCAATAAAAATAGAGATTTTTACCTGTTGGTTGTAGCTCAATTGGCAAAGCACGCTAGTGTGGGAAGAGCTCTTGTGTTTCATCCCAATTAAATGCATCAACTGGAAGGAGCGATAAGCCTTTAACCGTTACTAAGGTTCAAGCCGGATTAGACGGTTCCTGATAATAGAGTCCAGATATCGGCTGCTTACATAAAAAAAATTGAAATTTTTAAATTTTATTTTTATTTTATTTTTTTCTTGAATGATCAGAAATATCTCGTTTCAACAAAAAAATTCATATTTTCATTGATTTGATATATTGACGAGGCGTGTACCTAGTCTACATAAATCTATTCCATTTTTTCTATGAAATAAACGGTTTGAAACAAATTAAGGGAAAAATATATCCTTATTAAAAAAATAAGACAATATTAAAGAAAAATATTCATTACTAAATAAAATCTCTTAATTAAAGAAAAATAAATTTATAAACTTATATATTTAATTTGAAATAGATTTTATTATTTTCTTTCTTTTATTTTTTTTCTTAAATGTTTTCTTCCTCTCATTTCTAATTAAATAAAACCTAAAGGTTTTTTACAAGCGTTTCATCGAACATATTTCAAACTCTATTCACTATTATAAACGTTGCGCTAACAAACACTATAAATAACAAAAAAAAATAAAAAAACATAAAATTTGTTACAGAACATGGCCTAATAATGAAGACGTAAAACATTAATTTCTTTCTTTCATTATTTTAGGATAATATTTCATTTATCAACACTTCAGTAATCTATTTTAGGACAAAATGTAGTTTAGGAGAAGATGATATTACAAGTTTGTTTGTTATACATTATACTAAATTTATTTCTTCAATGAAAAAAGTATCATCTAAAAATATATTAGACTAAGAATAATTCAATTGAATTCTTATTTTTACAAAAACTCAAAAAAATCATAATATATATTCTACATTAAAAAATCAAATCATGATAATTAAATCAATCATTCGAGTTAAAGTGAATATCAATTTTATGAATATTTTTTACTAAATTTAACTATGAATTCAACTATTATAGATTGAAATTTTATTTTTTATGATTTATTATAAAAAAAAATATATCCCTGGTTAGAAAAATGAAATGAACATTTGTTAGTTATTTAGGCTGTAGTAGTTAAGATGGCTAAGCAAAAGTATTTTTCCCATTTTCATGAAAAGGTAGGGATGCAAAAAAATATTATATGTTTTTGCGTGTAAAGATTCATGAAAAGGGAAGTTCTTATCACATGGGCTGCCTCTTTTTTTTTTTTTTTTTTTTTTTTTTTTTTTTTTTTTTTTTTTTCCCATTTTCATTTTGAAAACGGTTGGGGATGCAAAAAAATATTATATGTTTTTGCGCTGTAAAGATTCATGAAAAGGGAAGTTCTTATCACATGGGCTGCCTCTTTTTTTTTTTTTTTTTTTTTTTTTTTTTTTTTTTTTTTTTCTGTATCTTTTTTTTTTTTTTTTTTTTTTTTCTGTATCTTTCTAGCATTGTTTGCTCCAAATGTTCAACAGCTCTACTTATTTAAAAAGGCTTTTTTTTTTTTTTGTCATTATTTGGAATAAATGAATTTTGTAAAAGTTTATGCAATTTGTTTATAAATTGAATTTTTTGTATTTGGTATAAAAAAATAAAGAATTCAATTCTATGGATTTAAATATAACTAAATTAAATTCTATAAAAAAAAAATTGAATTTCCAAATGAATTTCACAAACTTAAGTAAACTTAAAATTTTATTCAAAATATAAAAAATTCACTTACAAATAAATTCTATTTGGAAATCAATATTGAGTTCATTTATACCAAATGGAGCATTAATTTTCTGCACGTGAATATATTGGGTAAAACTATAGTAGAGAAACGCAACATTCTACATCGATATGGAAATTAATATATATTTTCAGATTTTAATCATTTATTAACAAATCCTTAGATTAAATTTTGAGCAATGAACTTATTAAGGCCTAAACAAGTAATGGGACAAATGTTTACCCTAAACATGATATTTCACTTCCTTGCCAAACTACAACAATAGAATAGTTTTTTTTTTTTTTTTTTTTTATAGTTCTATTTTTTTTTTTTTGGTCTCTCTTACCATAAAACTCTCATCAAAACAAACAAAATTTTTTTTTTTTTTTTTTTTGGTCTCTTCTACCATAAAATCAAAACCAAACAGCCATTTGAAGAAATATGAAGAACTCTCTTATCTCCTAAGGTTTGGCAACTAAAGGTTGAAAAAGGAAACTTTGAACTAAAAGATGGATTTTTATTTTATTTTTTATACCAATATTGAAAGAGGAGACCAACTTACCTTAGTAACATGTGTAAATGAGTCAGCATGGGACACCAACACAAAATCCCACATAAAGCTTTGGTCTAGAGATCTCAACCACTTAAAAATTTCTCTTTAATCACAATTTAAATTAAATGAAATTCTACCACCAACCAACACAAAACTTACATTTGATGCAAAGTTTGAAGTCCAGCCAAAAAGAAGGGAAAGCCATGAAGAATTTAGTTTGACCTTTTTTCATTATTTTATTTATTAATAATCCTACTTTTCCTCTCCATAATGAAGAGGGAGATTACGTGGGTGAGAATTATTTATGCTTTAAAAAGGAATTAAGAGATTCTAATCAAGGAAGATTGTTTGTTCCATCTATTATTTGGATGGGCGGTTCATACAATCTTTGATGATTGCTTTGCTTAGCTAATTAATCAATCAAGCCATTACTTTATTTATATATATATATACAATTTGGTGTCACATGTAATTTGGTTTTGTGCAATGTGGAATAATTGTCTTAGTCTAATGATTAAATTAGGAAATGTGATCAAAATTTACCAAATCAGTGAAAATTGAATAAATACAAGTTTTTTAAGATAACGATTCAACCAAACTGATTAATGTACAAAGTTGAATTGAGTCAAATGGAATTAATTGGGTTGGATTTATTTTTTGGTTTTTGAATCATTTTTAGATTTAATTCCACTTGATTCCTAATTTTTTATTTTACCAAATGAAAATTTTGGTTTTTTTTCATGCATATTTAATCAATCAAGCCATTGTGTGTGTGTGTGTGTGTGTGTGTGTGCGTGTGTAGCTGTGTGGATGTTTCAGTGCTTCATCCATATGCCTGTTTCACATTAAATATATTATGATATTATATATATATATTTATATTATTATATATATATATATATATATATATTATATATATAAAAGTTGGTGTGTGCAATATAGAATTAATTGCTTCAAAGGGCATCTTCAAAATATTAATGTGGATTATGGCTGATGTACCATATTTATAACAAGAAGGTATGAATGCTGATTTAGTTGAATCTTAAAAATCCTCTCTCCAATTTACTACTTTCTCCCATATCCTCTTTCCATCCTCTTTTTTCTTCTCTCTTTCTTGGCTACAATTCTCTAAAGAGCAAACGGATATCCCACCATTTTCAATAGAGCCTCTTTCTTAGAAAAGACAATGTGAAGTAGATTAATATCCTATTTAATTTTTTAAACACCTCAGTTTGACATACCAAATAGACATAGTATTGCAAAGCATTTTTTAAAAATATAAGAAGCAATTCCACTTTAGCATCGACAATGCCTTTTAGTCTAAGGATTTAAATTAGGGAATGTAAACTCTGATTTTTATATATATAAAAGTTGGTGTTGTGCAATATAGAATTAATGCTTCAAAGCATCTCAAATATTAATGTGGATTATGGCTGATGTACCATATATAACAGAAGGTATGAATGCTGATTTAGTTGAATCTTAAAAATCTCTCTCCAATTTACTACTTTCATATCCTCTTCCATCCTCTTTTTTCTTTTCTCTCTTGGGCCTACAATTCTCTAAAGAGCAAACGGTCACATTGTCTAATAGACTTTCTAGAAATAGACAATGTGATAGATAATATCTATTTATTTTTTTAACACCTCAGTTTGACATACCAAATAGACATTAGTATTGCAAAGCATTTTTTAAAATATAAGAGCAATTCACTTTAGCATCGACAATGCTCTTAGTCTAAGGATTAAATTAGGGAATGTAAACTCTTGATTTTGTCAAAACATACCAATCAGTAAAAACCAAATAAAATGTGGTTTTTTAAGATAAAGATGAAACCAAAGTGATTATTGTAAAAAATTGAACTGAATCAAATTGAATTAATTGATTTCAATTTATTTTTAGTATTTGATGCTTTTTTAGATTTAATTCTGCTCGGTTTTTAATTTTGAATTTTACATAATGAAAATTTTGGTTTTTTTTATTAAAACTGAAATAGTGCTGAAAATTTGAAAAAAAAATCAAATGAATTTGAATCAAATCGATGACTTAAAATCTAATTCATCACAAACCTAATTTTGTTGTCAACCCTTTATCTAATCAAGCATTACAAGGGAATAGAAATCTTCAAGTTGTTTTACAACCTTCACATTATGTGTCTCTTTTAGCCTTCAAGTTGTCTCTTTTGTTGTCACCCTTCTCTTGATGTCGAAAAAATAAAAAAAGAGAATTATTACTATTTTATAATCTATGCTTATGATTTAAATCCTAAAATATAAAATGGATAAAAAAGTTACTTCTCCACTAAGTTAACATTTCAATGATTTTTATTATAAAAGCAGCTTTTTAGTTTAATCCAATTACGCCGAGTACCTCATCTTTCAAAATGTCACAATTCTTGAACTCAAAAGCAGCACTTCTACAAATTAATTAAGATAGCTAGGCTACATTGTCTTGCTTTATAGTTTATATCAATTATTGTTGCCCAAATAGCTTTTTATTGATTTCATTTAATAGATTAGTAGAGCTCCCACTTGAGTTTGTATTTGTAAATAAATTGGTTTAAGTTTAACCATATCTTTAACAAGTTGAGTTCGAGCTTAATAAAGCTCAGTCCCGTTTGAATCATTTACAACTCTAAATTTAAAAAAGACGAAAATGAATAGTTTCTCTATTTTTACTTAAATATTTCTTAGAGTTTCAATAAGCTTAAATTGGAGGGAGAGCCTAAATTGTCCCTTGAACTTTGAGGAGAAATTCAATTGAGTCCCCACATCTTTATTTTTTATTAAAAAAAAAAATTGATCCATGAATTATAATAAAATTAGTACATGAGGACTTCTATTTTTAAAAACTGACTATAAAGTCTCTAAATTATGATTTCATTAACACTTTGATCCTTTCATTCTAAGTAGAGAGACTACCGTATTAATAGAAACAATAAGTTAAGAATCTCATAGTTAGTTTGACTATAATTTTAGAAACTGATTTCTCAATCAATTGACAGTCAACCGAGGCTATTTTGGATAGAAGGAACTAAAATACTAATGGAATCATAGGTTGTAGACCACATAGTTTTTGAAAACAATGGTCCTAATGTGTTAATTTGACTATAATTTAGGAATCTTCTTAATTTATCCTTTTTCTATTTTATAAACGTTTCTATGTCTCTTAATAGCACTGAATTTATCTTTGTTTAGTCTAACTCACATTTATTTATTACTAAAGTAGTCCGAACAGTTTAGAGCATCTCCAATGCTAATGTGTATTGTGGCCGATATCTCATAGAATAAAATGTGTGAATGATAATGTCACTTAATGTCTATTTATAGAAGTTGAATTTTAAAAATTTACCTCCAATGCACTAGTTCTGAATCATCTATCATCATCTTTTTTATTTCCTTCTTCGGGCTCACAATTCAATATAAAACAATCATTACAGAGCAATAAATGCCCATATTATCAAACAGACCTCTAGAAATAGGCTTAATATATTGTTTCACCCTCAATTTTAAATTTTATTGTAATTTCATTCTGATTTGACCTTTATATCACTTTCACCCTGAACTTTAACATTTTGTTGCACATTCACTCCCATTTGACCTTTATACCAATTTCACCTTGAATCTTAACATTTTATTGCAAAAGCACCCTAAATCATAATGAAGATGTAAATTGTAATAAAAAAAGATTCACTCTTGATCGTGAGCTTAGATTAACTTAATATATTAAGTTAATCCAAACTCAAGGACAAGAATGAACCTATTTTTTATTTACAATTTAAATCCTAATTATAATTTAGGGTGTTATTGCAACAAAATGTCAAAGTTTAGGGTGAAATTAATATAAAAGTCAAATTGAGTGAAATTGCAACAAAGGTTAAAGTTCAGGGTAAAATTGACATAAAAGTCAAATTAGAGTGAAATTGCAGCAAAATCTAGAGTTGAGGGTGAAACAATATATTAAGCTCTAGAAATAGAAGGTGTGATATACAATATCTATTTATTTTTTTTGACATCTCAGCTTGACATATCAAATAGGCATTGGCATTAGAAAATATTAGTGAAAATTTACATTTCAGATACCAAATTAACTGTAATTGAATTATAAGGCAATTTATGTTTCCCTCCTATTTCTGGAATTGAAGCAGCATAAAAGTTCTAGGCACACCACAAGTTTAGTTGTTTCGTTTGATGAAATATGAGATTTGCTTGACAAAGTAACAGGCACAACTAAATGACCCAAGTCTATGATAAATAACAACGATAAGGTTTTTCCAAGAAAATTTAGTGATGATTTGAAACTTTTGACATCAATTGCACATTTTTACTAACTTCAATCCTGACAAATATTTCACTATACAAATGAAATAACACAAACCCTTTTCTGTTTATCTTTTACACATAACATTTTTCAAGTCTTTGCTTCTTGTGTCATTACATGGAATTCGAACTCCTGATATCCTGCAGCATGCACTTGACTAATGTCCGACCGCTGCTAGCTTAATCATACCTCGTTGTCGCCTTCAATTCCTTGCTGTACAACAGAATCCAAATCACCTAGATAAGTCTCTGCTAGGGCAGCATATAGTGCTGCTCCAACCGGAAGTGCATCCTCATCGAGAAAGAAGTGAGGGGAGTGTGGGGAGTGAATTGAGCCTAGTTTTTCATTTCTAATTCCGACACTGAACATGACTCCAGGAATCATTTCTTGATAGAAAGCAAAGTCCTCACCGGCCATCACCCTCTCACCTAGCTTTACATTCTCAGCACCAAGAAGAAGACTGCCAATCCTCTGAACATGCAAATTCAACTTTTCATCATTCACAGTAGCAGGATACGATGGGTATTCTTCTTCTTTCGTGTCAATGTATGCATTACATCTGTGCACAGCTGCCTGGCCTTCAATAACCTATCATGAGTTCCAATAGAATTAGGAACTTCACTAAAAACAATTGCTCTTTCTCCTCTCTTCTTTCTTAACCTAAAAGATGAAAACTTCTCCCTAATACAGGTTGCTAAGTAACTATGAGAAATAAATCCAGCCTTTTTCTTCTTGCTTTGGCGTATGCAGAGAAAGTCAAAGCCTTAATTCCTAATTCGAAAATAGTTATTTTTTGTCATGGAATTCGTTATTGGAATTTCCTATATTGAAGAACAAAGATGATGGATGTGGATTATGATTGAAGTGCACAACACTATATTTTGTACGGTTCTAATTATACATGTATGCTTGGCAAATGAGGTGATGCTCGTGAACAAGAGACAATGGTTTCTTGATCATGGCAGAGAAAATGCTATAAGATCTTGGGGAAAGACATGAGTTGAAAGGGCACTTTTGCCGACTGAATTATTGGACGGTTGATTATCATTTTTTATTACTTAAGTTCACCAACGGAAAATCAAGCAAATCCCAACAGAAGGATCATCTAATGTGACAAAGATATAATAGTTATATAATATAGAATTAGATTTTGAAAACCGAGATTCTAGTTTGTGTATTTGCCTATAATTTAGGGACTTCCTAAATGAAAAATGAATATGAAAACTTGATTTAGCTTGAACAAGAAATGCATGCTAAAAAGATCTCAATTCAAATACAACCACATGCATTTATAAAAAGTGTGTTTTCATCCTAAAGAAATTCAAATGTTTATTCATACAATTTCCACTAACTCCTTGTTTGGTATAAATGAATTTGAAACAAGGAATCCATTACAAATGATAGAATGTAGTTTAGTTATATTGAATTCCATAAAATTAAATTCATGAGGTAAAATGAATATTTCTGTTCATACTAAATATAAAAGCATAGAATTCTAAATGAATCCACAAAATTGTATGGAATTCTTGGTCACACAATCATATATTTGGATTTCAAATTCTTTATCAAATGAAACCTCAGGTTCAAGACAGTGAAGCTGACAATCTAGCACCCCCCTTCCTCCTCTTCCCCTTAATCTTTCAAATACAATCATTTCTCAAATTATAAGCAGGATCCATTCCCATATCTTAAGCATGCAACTCCGTTTGTTTCTTATAGACAGCAATGAATTGACTTGAAAAAAGTGAAACATATGAGGAATTGCATCCAAAAAAGGCATGCTTGGAAGATTTGAAACACAGAATGATTTCTTCCATTAAATCCAAATTGAAAAAAACATTTACAGCATTTACCTCTTTCATCCTCCGCTGGAGTCGGTGCAAGCCCTCGGTTGTCAGACTCCTCAAAGTGCCCCCAAATTGAACATATGGTGGAATTACATTCAGGGCAGTCCCACCTCTGACGTACGTAACAGAGAGCACCTACAGCCAGAAATAAAGTGCCTGTATTAACAGAGAATATGGATGCTTATGTTCCCATATAAACAGCTAGAAAATGCCAAAAATAGGAAACATAAATGCGGGGTAGCAGATTTTCCTAGATAAGTTAGCAAAAGTGGCAAATGTAAGCTTTGGTTGCTTTGGTCTAGGATTAAATGAGAGTTGGATGAACCCAGAAAAGAAAGGATCAAAAAGTAAAACTGGTTGAGGCTATACTGCAAGCATAATAAAGTATCTGCATAGGTTCCATCAAAGTCAGTGAGGGTTCTGGTAATTAGATACTCTCATCTGAGTGGCTACTATAATAAATTCATGACTGAGATGTACTTCACTGTATAGAGGATCAGCTTCTCTTGAGATGAGCTGTTGCAGTGCCAGAATTGCAAATGATACAGCAAGTACTGGATCAACATTATTATGAGGCTCTGCAGCATGGCCACCTTTGCCTTCAATTTTAGCTTCAAAAATAGACACAGCAGCTAGGAGTGGCCCTGGCAAGGATGAAATCTTTCCAGTGGGCAATTGTGTGCTAATGTGCATGGAAAATATTGCTTCAGCATTACCCAGTGCACCTTCTTTTATCATATGAGATGCACCAGCACCTCCCTCCTCAGCTGGTTGGAAAAGAAGTCGCACAGTTCCCTTAAAAATCAAATTAAAAAAAAAAAAGCATTCAATTTATTTGAGCAAGAAGACTGAATTAACTAAATATTAAAGGGAGACAGAAGGGTCTTCTTTGTGCTTTCTGAATAGCAGTGCTTATTAATTAATTACAATCATCCAAAATGAAGTTGACAAGCACAAAAGGTGTAAACAAAAAAAAAAGAGAAATAGAGAGCAGCATAGGTAAAGAGTAAATCCTGCAAAGAAGAAATTTCTTATTTCTTATGACATGAAGAAAACCAAGGAATCATGTCTCACTTAAACAAAAGATAAAGCAGAACAAAGGAACATAATTCGTGTTGCATTCCCATACAATCTGTTGTTTCAAGGTTCAAGTGATTGCAGATTATATAACTACTAAATTATAGTCTTACATGTCAATATATTTTATTGTTTAGGAGGAACAATGATTAATTGTGTTTTAGTACAAGTAGCTATGGCATTTTCTAAGACTTTTTACTAAAAGAAAAAAGTATTCTACAATATTCATAGAATTAAGGGAACTTTTTCGCTTAGACAAAATGATTAAGGAGTATCCAGAAAACATCAACAAAAACTTTCGCATTGGCTTCTGCAAGTTGAAATTAAATGGGTTCCCTCCCTTTCTGCATTCATGATGTTCTGGTCACCAAAATATTGCCCATTACACCCTTCCACATCTAACTCAATTGGCACCAAAACTTTTAGTTACTTTTTCGATCAATCAGCTACCTAACATAACAGAATCTAAAAACTGTTAAACATAAATCAGAAAGGCAAAAAACCTCCCAACAAGAGCATCAAATCAATCAATTACTTGGGCATGGAATTCATTCACAAGATCAAAATGTCATGTTTGCAAAAAAAAAAATTCATTTACAATTCTACATTTAATTGGTAAAGCTTGAACCATGCTAAAATTGACAGAATTCTAAATACAAGAAAGTAAAGCTACAAATTTAAAACAAATTTAATAGTTAATCAAACAAAAAAAATTAATGAACAAATGATTTTTTGTTTAAGGAAATTCATTTGCGCATAAAATGAATTCTACATTTATTTAGTGGAAACACTATCATAACAAAATTAACTGACCTTAAGTTTATGTTTACGCTGATTAAGCAACCTGGCAGCACCGAGGAGCATTGTGGTGTGAGCATCGTGTCCACAAGCATGCATTTTACCATCAATTTTGCTTTTATGCTCCCACTCAACCAGTTCCTACATATCATCATAAAAGCAACCATAAGGCATATCAAAAATTTAAAAAAAAAAAAAAGAACAAACAGGCGATTACTTGCAAGGGAAGAGCATCCATGTCGGCCCGGAGAGCAACGGCAGGACGAGAACCATAGCCAATTTTGGCGACAACGCCAGTTTTAGCAACTGGATATTCATAAGGGATTCCAAGTCTGTCGAGTTCACTGCGAATAAGAGCACTAGTGTTGTGTTCTTCAAACCTGAGTTCTGGGTTTTGATGGATTTGTCTTCTGATAGACACTAACCAATCTTTATCTTGTTGTGCTGAACTTAAAATTTGCTGCAGATAACTACGATCATAACTGGAATCAATTCCATCAAGGAAAATAAGCAAGGGAAGCCAATTGCTCAAAATTTTGGCTAACAAAGGATTGCCCATCTTAATCTATCACTCCTATTTTGCAGATTTTGACATTAGTCAACAAGACGCAAGAAGAGTTGGACGAGTTTCTATTACTGGGAATAGGGAACTTTAGAATTGTCCGAAATTGCTAATTTAATTTTAATCGATGATATTAACTTTCTAATTAAATTTAAATTTAAATTTTATTAAATCGAAAGAAAAATCATATTATATTGTAAATCAGCACTTAACCTATAAAAAAAAACTACGAGATTTGGAGTTGGTTGTAAAAACATTTTAATCTGACCTTCGTTTCTTGGAACCCTCCAATTTAAAAACTTTGTAATATTATCATCCTAAAATCAAAATTAACTAGGGTTTTGAATAAAAAATTATTAAAATGGGTATCATCAAATTAGGTTGAGTTAAATTTACCTAAGCTCCTTGTACAATACTAAAACGCAGCGATTTAATAAAAAAAAAATCCTTAATGCATAGAAACAAAAAGCACGATGCGCCTAAACTTGAAGAAGAGAACTAAAGAGAGCTCCCTTTGCAAAGACAAACATGACTACTGAAGAAGAGAGTGAGTCAAAGAGCCATTGGATCTCATTCGATTGAGCCTGAATGAGAGCATTTACATAATGAAGCTCCAATCAAAGCGTGAGCTACGAGGCAAACTATATGTATGTGTAACTGTATCTATTTAAGGTTTTTTTTTTTTTTTTGAATTTCTGTCCAAATAGGGGTGACTTGTCTCACTATTCTGTGGTGTTAGCTTAGGGTTTTTGTTCCTGGTTTTAGGCCTTTATATAATGTCTAATTTGGTTTTGGGTATGGTTATGAATCAGGTCCTCCATTTTGTTCGACTTTCAGAATGGAGTTTTTACTATTGCTTGTGTAAATTTGATATTGGATACACTATGTATCTACAAGGGGAGAGATGAAATAGGGGTTAACCTAATTCAAAACGGTAAGTTTTGATTAAAACTATTCATTTTGATATTGTGCAAGGAGCTTGGGTTAATTTAACCCAACCTTGTTTAGTGGAACCCATTTTAATATTTTTTTTATTCAAAACCTTAGTTAATTTTGATTTTAGGGTGATAAAATTACAAAGTTTTTATATTGGGATGCCTGGAGGACGAAGATCAAATTAGGGTGTTTTGGCAACAACTCGCAAATCTTGGGATTTTTTTTGTAGATTAAGCCCTAAATCAGATATATATTAAATATGGTAAGAATAAATTATGTTTTAAGGATTTTAATTTTATTGGTTGAAATAATAAAGAAAGTATATTTTAAATATGATAAGAATATAATATCTTTAAAGAGTTTTATTTTATTGATTGAAAAATAAAAATAAAAATAAAAATAAAAATAATTTAATTTTGGATTGATTATATTAATTTCTTATTTAAATCTAAATTCTATTTGAAAAAAAAGTAAAAAGTCAAACTAAATATTAAATAACGTATATGGTACCAACGAGTGTTGGGATGAGTGATTCAACACTCTTCTTCTTTAAGTGAGGTCGATGGTTAAATCATCATGGATGGGGAAAATATTTGTTGGAAGCACTTTACTCCATATTGGGCCGACCCGGTGCGAGGGTGGCTCTGACTACTCCTGGCTCACGTTGTTATTGCTTCGACTATTCCTATCCCACATCCTTAGAAACGAAAAACAGGTTCCTTTTTTATTTCTTTAACACAGTCGACTTTGAGAGAGGTGTCACCATAACAGACCTTGGTGCAAAGAGGTTCCTTTTTTATTTCTTCAACACATCGACTTTGTGAGAGCAACAGAGGGTGCCCCTTGGACTTTTAATCGTTACCAACTGATCTAGAGTCCAATTGGCAATGATGACGATCCTATGCAAATTCCTTTGCTATTGACGAAGTTTTGGGTACAGGTGCACAATTTGCCAATAGGTTATATGTCATGGCTAGGGCATTAGGCAACTTTATGGGTGTGTTTTTACACTATGATGCTAAGGACCTTTTAGTGGGTTGACCCGATGCGAGGGTGGCTCTGACTACTCATGGCCCACGTCTTTATCGCTCTGACTATTCTTAGCCCACATCCTTACGAGTTTTGCATGGCGGGAATGTTTCTCATGTGTAGCGTTATTAATTTTCAATCAATGAAAAACACCTTTGCTGATCCATGTTATCCCTTGGGAGGTGTCACCATATCAAGCCTTGGTGTAAAGAGGTTCCTTTTTTTTTTTCTTTAACGCAGTCAACTTTGGGAGAGCAACGGAGGGTGCCCCTTGGACTATTAACCGTCACCAACTAATCTAGAGTTCGGTTGGCATTGATGATAATCCTATTCAAATTCCATTGCTATCAGCAAGTTTTGGGTACAGGTACACGATTTGCCAATAGATTATATGTCTGAAACTATGGCTAGGGCATTAGGCAACTTTGTGGGTGTGTTTTACACTAGGACGCCAGGGACCTCTCTCTAATTACTAACAGTTTTATGAGGATAAGAGTAAAACATGATATACGTCGACCTTTAAGGAGGCACAAGAAAATTGTTGATTCAAAGGGACTGTTATTTTATGTTCTTTTTGCTATGAATGGTTGTAGATATTCTGTTTTCTATGAGGCTTGGGCACACGAATTCCTTTTGTGATCTTTGGCTTCATAGGAAAAAGGAAGAGTTGGTGGCAGCTTAGGACGACTAGATTAGGGTTCCCGCTAGAAGGGATGCATAGGTGCAAAGTCAATGGCTCTGTGATTGTGGGAAGAACACTGGACTTGAGAATGTGTCTTTGGATAAGGGATTTGTTGGACGGTCAATAGCTCCACTAAAATCTCAAGATTTTAGACTATCCTTTTATGGCAAGCAATCAAATAATGAGATCGACTTGGCTCACAATAAATTTATGGAGACAGATAGGCTAGCATTGGGCTTAGAATCTCATTTGGGCTTAGAAGAGGATATTGACTTGCCAAAAGATGCAAAAAATTCCATTCTACTATCGTTTCTTCCTTCAATGATTCATCGATCAGTATATAAGCTACAACTTCGATGTCAACTACCAAGATAACGGTTGATCTCAAACGACGGGATAGTCGAAGCCATGAAAACCTTCAGTTGGAACTGTCAAGGGCTTGGCAACCCTCAAACAGTTAGTGCACTCATAGATTTTGCTTTGAGTTTTAAGCTAAATGTGATCTTTTTTATGGAAACATTGGTCCATGGTGTTTGTATGGAGGAGATAAAAAGGAATCTGAATTTCGATAAGTGTTTTTCTATGGATTGTGTAGGTAGGAGTGATAGACTAGCTTTCTTGTGGAATAATGCTATCCAACTTTCGGTAACCGGATATTAGAACTGTGCTGATGTGACAATTTTAGTTCATAATGTGTTATGGAGGCTAACCGATTACTGTGGAATACTAGATAGGAATAGGAGACATCTAACATGGAATTTAATTAGAGCTTTGGCGACTAAAGATAACAAACCATGGTTGTGTGTCGGGGATTATAACAACCTGATTTCTAATGAGGAAAAGCTTGGCAGCAATCCTTATCTGAGCTTTCTCCTTACTGGCTTTAGAGAAGCTATTAACGATTTTAGTCTTTGTGATTTATCGTCTCAATGTTATAAATACATGTGGAGCTATCAACGGAACAACCATATTGTTACCCGAAAGTGACTGGACAGGGGTATGTCAAACTCGGAGTGGGCTTTGCTATTTCAAAATGCTATGGTTAAATTTATTTTTAACCTAATTTTCAATCATGATACGTTACTTTTAGAACAGGGGGTCAAGTGGTGGATAGGAGACGGTGAGAGTATTAATGTCCTCAAGGATCCTTGGATCCTGGAGTATACCCCTACAATGTGGAGGATGATGGAGGGTTTATTAGTCTATAAGAGTTAAGGAGTTATGTTTGGAAGGGGTGATGAGATGGGATATAGGAAAAATTATCTCTTTTTTGTGCTAGAGATGTGACAGCTATTATTGGGATCCCTTTATGTGTGGTGGCTAGGAGAGATCAAATTTGTTGGCATTTTTAGAAAAAAGGTGTTTATAGCATTAAGTTTAGATATTGGAATGCTCTTAAGTTTCTGGGAAAGAGTAATATGAGGGTAGATGGGGTCCCGTGGAATAGGATTTAGAAGTTAGAAGTCCCACCAAAGATCAAGGATTTCATGTGGAGAAGCCTAAGAGATATTCTCCTTACTAAAGAGAAACTTAGGAGGACAAGGATAAATGTTAATGAAGATTGCCCTTTTTGTGGGGAGGTTAAGGACGTTAGTCATGCTTTGGTGAGGTGTAGGCAGGCTAAGGCTACTTGGACTTATGAGGGATTTAAGGGGACCTGACTAAGCTTTTCTTATTTAGATTTTTCTTGTAGGTCAGTCAACTTCTTGATGGTCCAAAAGCTAATGTTATTGTTGTGATTGTATAGAGCATATGGTAGTCACGTAACTACTTATGGAACTAGAAATGGATCCCATGCAACATTGTGCATGGCAATGCTATCTCCATTTTGCAAGATTGGATGCGGGCTCAAGTCATGAGGCAATGATCCAGCACAACACTCTCGCATGCCCCTGCACAAATTCTAAACATGTCCGATGCATGGCATGCACATGTCGATGGAGCAATCTTTCAAACTGTAGGTTTAATGGGCTTTGGTGTGGTATGGGAGGATGATGAAGGCCTCTCCTTACAAGCAATATTGGGCTTTTACGAGGGAGGGGATGTGAGGCCCTAACCCGAGCACCTTGTCCGATCCGCTAAAAAGGAATTGGAACGCTCATATTAAATTGGGTTTATGGTGTGAAAGCCCATTTAATCTAATTGCTTTCTTTGAAAAGGAGTCGCCACTTACAATTTTTATTTTGAGAGAAAAACCTAAAGAAAATCATAATTTGACTTCGAACATTGGTCCAAATGGATAAAAAAACTAATCATCAAAACCAAGGAGGATTCGAGGATGATAGGTGTTAATTTCATAGTGTTTTTAATATAGTTTTTATTAGAATTTCAGTAAGTTTTTATTACTTTAATTTGATTTTAATTCACTTCTAGTATTCCAAATGGGAATAAAAAAAACTAATCAATCAAAACCAAGGAGGGATTCGAGGATGATAGGTGTTAATTTCATAGTGTTTTTAATATAGTTTTTTATATAGAATTTCAGTAAGTTTTATTACTTTAAGATTTGATTTTAATTCACTTTCTGTATAATTGTTGTTCAAAGCTTTCCTTGATTCTTAATCCGCTTGATCTAAGAGAAAAATTTGTAGGAATTGGCGCAGAAAGAACTTTACAATGCAAGACACTTAACTTCTAGCACTGCCCAGCACCTGCTAGATAGGGCACAACCATGCTAGAAGCTAAAGGAAACGCAAAGGAAGAGACAGAAGAGAGCCACGGCCAGGGTGGTGTCAAAAGGCAACGGGCCGTGCTACAATGGGACCAGGCGGTGTCAAGCCGTTAGCACGCCCATTTGGCAATTTCTAGCCAGACTTCCAGACTAAAAAAGCACACCCAGCCCCGTGCCATGAAGCACGGCCCGTGCTGCGCAGGCGGAACCAAGTGAACTAGATACGCAAATTTCAAGCTTTGTCTTCACAATGGGCCGACCCGGGGAGTTTCCTAAACACACTAAACAAGGACCTA